GCTGATTTAGGGTTCGCGTACTCACACCTGGAGTGCTTACCAAGGTTCCAGGGCTAGCTTTCAAACTGCATGCCTGGCCACATGGGATCCAGTTCCCTCAACCACCAGGCTATGGAACTGACCCCCAGAATTTTTATATTTTAAAGTGAACAAGTAAGGGGCACTTAAAACAACTTACATGTAATGGAAGTTGAAAGCATTTTTACACAGTAATTTGGACATAAAAATTACCTCTGAAGGCTTCTGAGTAGACTCTTTTTCCTGTTCAAAAGAAGACAAAAAGGTTGGTATAGGAATTCTTTACATAGTCAAGAATTTGTCACATAGGATTCCATAAATTAAAAAAACAAAAACAAAAATTCTGTTTACTAAACTACAAAATCTCAGCATCCCTTATTTACTACAATGGTTTAAGTCTTCATTTTTGGTTTCACGTAATACTTTCAATCCTTCATATTCATACTTAATGTTTATGGGTAACTATGGTATCTAATAATTTTGCATTAGAGAAACTACGTGTTCTTCAGAGTTTTACTTGCAAAATGGGAAAAGGTGGAGATTCTTAAATATTTTCTTCTCAGGATAACAGAGACAGACAGACAGAGACAGACAGACACAGACACAGACACACACACACACACACACACACAGAACCTACCCCATCTGATGTCTCTTTCTTCAGATTGCCCAGGCTGCTGGACTTTTGCAGACTTGAAGTTCTAAAAACAACAACAATAATAATTAGGACTAATAAAAAGTGGCTCTGGTGCCCCTGTTTCTTAGCAGAACATCTTGGAAAGACACTAAAATTGTGTGTGGGTTGAACCATGGTAATAAAGGAAAACAGGAATCAGGCAGTCACTTACGTGCTTAACTAAATTATAACACTTAGTGCTTTTAAAAGGAGGGCTGGCTAACTGTCCTGCCAATAACTGGAAATGTCCTGCACATGTTAGACCAGCTGGAAAAGCACTTAGGACATGATGTCAGCTTTTGAAAACACACCAGTGCTTTCCACGGGCTAAGGCTGCATCCTTTGCATGTATGTATTTACACCTGGAACCAGTTAACACCCATGTATTATTTATACCTGATCCTTCTAATTAAAGTCAAGAATGAAAGTTGTACTTTTCAATTCACAAAGGAATCACTCCTCAGAGTCTGGCAAAGCAATTCATTTTATGGTTGTGGTTGAAGCATCATAAAGGAATCCTTACTGCTGCCCTTAATAATTCATTTGAGGGGTCAGCAGGTGGTGTAGTGGATAAGGGCACTGGATTCCCACATGTCAACCATGGTTCAAGTCCTGGACCTGGTGGCTTGCTTTCTCACTTTCCCTTTCTCTCTCTCTCTCTCTCATCAAATAAAGAAAAAAAAATAACAATAACAAATGGAAATAAATAAAAAAATAATTCTTTAAAAAAATAAAACAATTCATTTGCTATCCAAGTAAAAGCAAAGTAATAGTGCAAATGTCCAGAGACTTTCCCTTTCATATAATTAGCATTCAGTTGTATAGAGCTGGTCTTACTCAAAAGATGAAGGCAGGAGGACCAGCAGATGGCGTAATGGTTACGTTGCTGGACTCCTACAGTTCACTGTGGTTCGTGTCCTGGACCTGGGGGCTTAAACTCAAACAAGGCACTTGTGTGTGCATGCCCAAGATCCCGAGAGGAGAATGAAGAAGGGATTAAGGCATGACCATTCCCCTGGGGGGTGATTTCTCATTTTCTGTCTATCTCTGTCTTTTCAGCAAGCACACATGCCCTACAGCAAAAACGTCTCTTAAAAAAAAAAAAAAATCAAAGGCAGGAATATGTAACCATTTTAAGAAAAGAGACATAAAGTAATGTGTTTGCTCTAAGAAATAAGATGAATGTACTTTTTTAAAAAAAAGAATTATTGGGACCAGCAGTTAGCGTAATGGCTATGTTGCTTGTCTCCCACGTAGTCGAATGTGGTTCGAGTCCTGGACCCGGTGGCTTAAACTCATGCTGGGTGCGTGTGCATGCATGCCCAAGATCCCAAGAAGAGAATGGAGGAAAAGGGACTGTGGCATGGCCATCCCCCCTGGAGGGTGATTTCTCGCTTTCTCTCTGTCTTTCTGGAGAGCGTATGCGCCCTATAGCAAAAACCTCTCCAAAAAAAGAAAAAAAAAAAAAAGAATTATTTTATTTGGGGACCAACAGGTGGTGTGGTGGTTAAAGTGCTGGACACTCCCACATGGCTGACCAGGTTCGAGTCCCGACCTGGGGGCTTGCGTTCTCACTTTTCCTCTCTCTCTGTTGTCTCTATGGTCATATTAAAATAAATGAATGAATAAATAAAATTAAATGGAAAAAAAAAGAATTATTTTATTTAACTTTATTTTTATTTGACCAGAGAGAGACAGAGTGAGAGCAAGAGCGAGAGAGAGCGACAGAAAGCGAGAAAGCAAGCCACCAAGTCCAGGACTTGAACTGCAGTAGGCCATGTGGGAGTCCAGCGCCCTTAACCACAACGCCACCTGCTGGCTCCAAGATGAATATACTTTTATAAGGCATTTCTTGGGACCAGCAGATGGCATAGTGGTTATGTTGTTGGATTTCTGCATGGCTGACTGCGGTTTGAGCGTCAGACTCAGTGGGTTGAAAATCATGCTGGGCACGTTGTGCATGCATGCCCAGGATCCCGAGAGGAGAGTGGAGGAGAAGGGGTTGTGGCTTAGCCATCCTCCCTAAGGGATGATTACTCACTATCTCTCTTAATGTGTTTGTCTGTCTGTCTCTCTCTCTCCAGTGAGTGCACGTGCCCTAAGACAAAAACTTCTAAGAAAAGACATTTCTCTGGTATTTATGTTTGTTTATAAGGTTTTAAAGTTGCTAGTAGTGTTAAGTACCAAATAAAGTAAGGATAATGGTGAGAAAATAAAAGATCTCACCTTTGAGTACTGCTCTGAAAATACTTTTCTCATTTAATCCAGACTTTAACTTGGATAAACATAGATTGTGGGTCAGTTTATTAAACTGCAAGTGTAATAAGAACCATTTCAGGTTTTCCATCACATCATTCTCTGTGATTCTTTTCTGCTGGACACAAGATATGTCAGCACAAAAATGAACTGAAAGCACAAAACTTTAGGTCCAGCAGGTAGCATGGAGGTTAAGGCAACTGGATCCCACATGGATGACTGCATGCTTCAAGTCTCGGATCTGGCGGATTGAGGATCACACCGGGCATGTGTGTGTGTGCGTGCCCAGAATCCCGAGAGGAGAATGGAAGAGAAAGGACTTTGGTGGGGCCATCCCCTTTGGGGGTTGATTTCTCACTTTCTCTCTCTCTCTCTCTCTGTCTCTGTCTCTATCTCTCTCCAGCAAGTACACACTCCCTATAGCAAAAATTACAGAACTTCAAATGGCAACTGATGAAGTAAGGTTCATGATCTGCACAGCACAAACTTGGCAGGAGATAATAATAAGTGAACAAATATTTCTTGATAAACCAACAACCATTCACCTATATCCAAACAGAGCAGCATTGATATTTTTTAAAATTAATCTAACAACTTCATTCACTGTCAACAAGAAGTTACTGACAGTGTAGCAGAACCATTTTCTCACACCTCCATCACATTTTTCACCTTCAATCAAATATAACTTACGAAAGATCATCACACAACTGGGTTTCAATGGCAGCACCAGGAGTTCCATCACTAAAATGTAAAAAAAAAAAAAAAGAAAAAAAAATTATTAACTTGATGAATAAAAAGCTACATATCTAAGGGAATAGAACTGTCCAAGACAAAACAACTGTGCATTAGAAATGCTATTCATAAGTCTGTTTTGTTTTATTTGACCTACAGGTGAGATGTGGCACCCTACCTGGGAATTCTATTTACCTACAGAAGAACTACTGCAGCACCCTCCTGTCTCCTTCCCAGCCATCCTCCAAAAGGCCTTCGGGTCACAACCCTGTGACAGTCATCTATGACCTAGCATATAAAAACCCAAATCCCCTAAAATCTCCCTTTAACCCGACCGCTGCACTTGTCCGGCCTCGTCTCTTATTACTCCCTGCTCCCCACCTTTTATGTGGGTCCCCTGGCACATGCTTTGCCATTTCTTGCTTAAATCGTCCAACAATGGTGTCTGCAAATAAATGCAATGCACCATCCCAATGTGAGGTCATAAATGACATACTTTTCTTCGAATGAAGTCTCTGACTTGGGAGACAACTTGGAGTTTTCAGAAGTTTCCACGCCCAGAGACACTGGTACTAACGACGGGACTGGAACTGGCAAGATGCTGGTGTGGAACTGTAATGCAATTATGAAAAGGCAGACATCAAGCAAAGTAACAAAACACAAGCCACAGAGTAACAAAACACGGAGGAGATGATGAAATGGTCTATTGACAAAACCCCATACGCATGTGTTTAGCTCTCTATTTTATATAGTTAAAAAATGATTTTTTTTTTGAGAGGTTATTGCTATAGGGCGCGTGCGCTCGCCAGACAGAGAGAGAGAGAAAGTGAGAAATCACCCCCCCAGGGGGGATGGCCATGCCGCAATCCCTTCTCCTCTATTCTCCTCTCGGGATCTTGGGCATGCACGCACACACGCCCGGCGTGAGTTTTAAGCCACCAGATCCGGGGCACGAACCACGGTCGACTACGTGGGAGTCCAGCGACATAGCCATTATGCCGAGTGCTGGTCCCTAGTTAAAAAATCATTACAGAATAATAAACATCAGCACAGAAATATCAGAGAACACATTCTGGAGGAAGGTAATTTTTAACTTGATTCTGCACAAGACAATGAATATTAAGAATTAGACTAAAGTGGGGCCAGCGAGTGGCATGGTGGTTAGGTTGCTGGACTCTCACATGGCCGACTGTGGTTCGAGTCCTAGACCTGGCGGTTTGCTTTCCCACTTTCTCTCTCAGTCTCCCTCTGGTGAGTGCATGTGCCCTATAGCACATTAAATAGTAATAATAATAACTAGATTAAAAATAAAATAAAATAAATAAATTTCTTAGGAAAAACTAAAAAAAAATGAAAGTGCCATGAAGCCAGTTAACAGTACATTCTAAGAACTTTAAACCCTGGCTGAAATTTTCCCCAGGCATCAGTTTCCTCTTTTGTAAAATGAGAATGACAACGCCTACCTCACAGGGTTGCATTAATTTACATGAGGTTGGGGTAGCATCCACTTAAATTCTACCACTAATAAGAAACATTGGTCAAAGCAGATAATTATCCTATGTGTGAACTAGCTGACTAATTTCAACAAACAGAATTGATGAAAAATGTCATTAAAACTAATTGTAAGCTACCACTTAAAATACTTCGCTTAATAGTAACAGCAGTTCAGCAACAAATAAAATGAGTAACACGTTTTCCTGAAATGCTCTGTGTAGCCTAAGGACAGAGTCTGTGAAAGGATTTAATACTCTGGTTTCCAACCATTTCTGGCAAGTGTAGAGCAGTTACATTGTGGGTCACATCATAAATAAATGAAGCACTTTTAAAAAATTGCTTTATGCCAGAGAGTACATGTGTGTATGTGAAAGACAGAAACAGAAAGAGAGAGAGAGAGAAAGAGAGAGAGTGTACATATGAGAGTGCGCCCTCCCACAGGGCCTGGTCACACTGAGATCCTTTTTTTTTTTTTTTTTTTTAAATTCTCCATTCCTTCAGGATCTTGGGTGTATATATACATGTGCTTGTCATGTTTTTCAAGCTGCTGTGGCTAGGATGTGAAGCCTGGTCAGCCATGTGAAATCTGAATTCCCCTGCATAGTGCTTACTCGCTGTGCTAGGGGCCAACCCATAAAAGAAACCCCTTGAAAAGCGTTTCAGGGGTCAGCTCAGTGGCACTGCTCAAAGCTGGATCCCACATGGTGACGGTGGTTCAAATCCTGGTCACACCCATCTGAAATACAATGGGCATGTGTGCAAGTACTGAAGATCTGATTGGCTAGAATACAGGAGGGAGGGGATCACGTATAACCAGACGTAGAACCAGATCCTACGGAGAATTCTCATCTCTTTCTCTCACACATGTACACGTGCTCTATTGTGAATAAAGAAAAAAAAAATTTGCCACCACACCCCGTGAAAAAAATTTTTAAAAGAATTACTTATTTTTTTTAAAAAAATAATTGTTTAATTTTATTTAGTCATTCATTTATTTTAATTTGACCAGAAATAGAAAGAGAGAGAGAGAGAGAAAGTAAGAAAGCAAGCCGACAGGTCCGGGACTCGAACTGTGGTAGGCCATGTGGGAATGTCCAGCGCCTTAACCACCACGCCACCTGCTGGTCCCTATTTATTATTATTTTTTAATTTGACCAGAGAGAGACAGAGAGAGAGAGTGAGAAAGCAAGCTGCCAGATCTGGAACTCAAACTGAGGACACCAAGTGGGAGTCAGCACCAACTACCACACCACTTACCAGCCCCAAGAATAAAAACTACAACAATAACAAAACATTTCAGTAAAAAAAAAAAAAAAAAGAGAGAAGAACAAAGTCTGGCTAGCCCCATAGCCTAGTGGTTAAAGGAGCCAGATGCAACATGACTGTCCATAGTTTGTATCCTATCCCTGGTAGTTAGAAAAAACATGCCAGTACATGTGTGCACATGCCCCAAATCCTAGAATGATAGAGAAATGGAGGAGGAGGGATTGCAACATGACTGTGCTCAATGGGGGCGGCGGGGAGTGTTGTCTCTTTTTTCTCTCTCTCTCTCATGCACGCAACCTCTGGCATTTAAGAAAAAAGAACAAAGTTCACTTTGGTGAACTCCTGCACACGAGCCCATCAGTGATAGCTCTTCATTTCTGCAAGTTAGCCAAGTAAGGCCTCACAACAGGGAACACACTTCTGATAAATGTCAACCCAACAGCAACAGCTTCCTCTGGTAACCACACGTCTACAGTGAGGTCAGCTCTCTCCTGCCTCTGGATATCCAATTCTTGAGCTCTGAGCATCCTAAAAACCCTATATGATCGGCTTGTAGAGAAGGTGCTTGACCAGCAAAATTCATTTGTTTAAAAAAGCAATAAATGTAGCTTTGTGATTTTTTTTTAGTCCAGTTATCAGGTGGTAGTCTCATTCTTTGAACTATAAAAGGTTTTAAAATGTGAGGTCAAATAATTATTAAATAGAAGATTAGGAATATTTATGATTAATTCTCGGTAATTTATGTAGTCATTATCTATTTCCTGAAGTTCAAATATCTCCTTGGATTCCCAAGCATAGGGAAAAAAAACCCACACAACAGACTGACCCATTTTCTTGCTCATTTTTCCCCCCAAACTTCAGTTTTTAAATTCAACCTCAAATATCCCTCCTGGCTTTTCTTTAAAAATGTGGCTGAACTCCCTCTTCTTAATCTTTAACATGCCAAACTAAAATAAAAACCTATTATTAAACTATAATTCACAGAACAGACTTTTTTTTTTTTTAAGGACAAAAGACTATCTGGGCATATCCTCCATGTAATAGTGGCTCTCTTTATGAATACAGCACACACTGATTGGCTGTCAAATACTTCTCCTTCAGTATAGATTTACATTGAACAATTAGGGACTTTCCCCCCTAGAATGCTTCTTATTCCTTAACTCATTCCTTTGTTAGTGATGTATTTTAGCCATCTCCTACATATAAGAGAAAACTGTCCATCGTTTTCTCCTTGAATGCATTTTCATTGAATTCAAATTTCATTTTCTCATTATAGAATTATCAGCAACATATATGAAAAGTAAAGACGCCACTCGGTTTCTTCTCACTACTTACAGTAAAATATGAGAGACGACCAGAGAAGGACGTATTACATATAAAAGAACCAAGATTGTCTAGTTAAAGAGTAAAACTTTTTCCCACTCCAAGTCTCTCCAGACAGCAAGTTACACTAAAATTAAGAAATGGTTTCAGGGGGCCAGCAGGTGGTGTGGTTGGGCCCCGGACTCTCACATGGCCAGGCATGGTTTGAGATCTGGGGCTGACAGCTTGAGAATCACGCTGGCTGCATGTGCGTGAGTACCCAAAATCCTGGGAGGAAAATAGAGGAGAAGGGACTGCAGCGTGGCCATTCCCCCTGGGGAGTGACTTCTCACCTTTCCTCTCACTGTCCCTCTGATGAATGCACAAACCTTATAGCAAAAACCTTTACAAAAGAGGGAAAAAGAAATGGTCTCAGAGCAAAGACCAAACATAGGCACTGTCAGAAAGACATGGTCTTTGGATAAAAGCCAAGGATGTGGCTATAAAACCTTTTGTTAAGACATCTGGAAGATTTAAGGTAGTATTATTGATGGAGCCTTTCAAATATTAGAATTTAAAAATAAGGAAATGTCCCACAGCAGTCATACAGGGAACCTTAATGTACAGAAGGGCCTACTGCGGCCAGCAGATGGAGTAGTGGTTAAGGCACTGGACTCCCACAGGGTTTATTGCAGTTCAAGTCCCAGACCCAGTGGCTTTAAAATCATGCCAAGCACATGTGAGTGTGTGCCCAAAATCCTGAGAGAAGAATGGAGAAGGAATTGTGTGGTCATCCAAAGTGGGGCGTGATTTTCCGCTGTCTCTCCAGCAACTGCACACACCCTATAACAAAATCTCTCAAAAAAAAAAAAAGAAAGAAAAGAAAAAAACAAAACAATCACAGATTTTTCCAAAAACAGAGTGAGCCTGTTTTTTTGCTTTCTACAAAGAGGTTGAGGGCTCAACTCACTGTAAAAAATTGATACTACTTTTCCAAAAGCACAGAGCCATTCCTCTCTTCTCTCAAGAGGGAAGGAAAGACATACAAAGGAGTAGCTTTCACATGACTCAAGCTCCTGGCCTTCATGTCACTCGAGCTGATGCCAAGTGGAACAGAGATATGTTCCTGGTAAGAGCTGTCAAAATTGTAGATTAATCAGTAAAATAAATGTTACTGTTATAAAGCTTGGTGGCTGTGTATAATCAATGACCAACTGATTTTGATGCCATATTGATACAAAATATATATGCGTTTAAGATGGTTTCCCTCCAATTGCTTTTTTCAAACCTAAAGAAGTCAGAGGGAAATTTGATTCAACATCTTTCAGAGACATCATCAAAAGGCACTGGGGCTAGAAGATGGCCTAGTGGTTACATCACTGTACTCCCACATGGCTGACTGCAGTTCAAATCCCAGATCCAGTGCTTGAAACTCACGCTGGGGATGTGTGTATGTGTGAGTGTCCAAGATCCTGGGAGGAGAATGGAGAAGGTATTGCAGCATGGCCATCCCTTTTTGGGGGTGATTTTTCACTTTCCCTCTTATTTTCTCTGTCTGTCTCCAGTGAGTACACATGCCCTAATGCAAAAATAAAAAAACCCTTATAAAAAAAAGGCACAGGCCAGCAGGTGGCATGGTGGTTAAGGGCGCTGGACTCCCACATGGTCAACCATGGTTCAACTCCCAGATCTGGTGGTTCACTTTCTCTCTCCTCTCTCTAGTCAAAATAAAAATAAATAAAGTTAAATAAATTATAAGATAATTCTTTTTTTAAAAAAAGGCACTAAAATAAATTTATTTACACAACCTCACTTTATCTCCAGTTTATTTATTTCCTACTGATTCTTCAATATGTAGGTTGTAATCTCACATTGAAGAGATGTATTTCCAAGAGATTTAAAGGGTTTTCCTGAATTTTATAAGTAACTTTGACACTGCCCAATGCATTTATGAAAAAGAGGAGGAAACCACTTAATTCTAAATAAAAGAACTGTAGGGCACAAAAATTTCCAAAACAAACCAAGTGAGTAATCAAACTGAGAAAAGAATCCATGTTTTTCCTATTATCGACAGTGCTTTAGTTTTCAATGATGTAGTCTCTGCAGCATAAAAATAGTAGAAGTCTATAAATACCTCTTCTGGAATACTTGTGTTAAACGGGTCATGGCTTGGAGACCCCATTACTGGAGTAGGTGATGGGCTTTTTTCCAGATCACTAAAACCTTGTACATCCAATAAAGTGGAGAAGGAACCAGATTTCAACAGATCCTCATATTCGCCATCTTTGCCTAGAAAGACAAAACCAAAGACAACAGCAGCTTTTCACTCACATTTCACTTTTGGAGGAAGGTAAGAATCCCAGCGATATTGAATGTAACTTTTTTCCTGAGCCTCAAAAACTTGGCGTTGACTTCTGACATCACTCAAAAAACAACATGGGACCTAGGAAACAGCATCTTAATTTGTGAGCAATGAGGCCTGAGGTTTCTTGGATCATGTTGAATACCTAGCAGTGGTACTAATACAGACAGTCATATTTGATATACTCACTGACTTGCAAGATTCAAAGAAAATGAGAAATTAACTCAAACACCCCTCTTGATTTTGTCTTGAAATCTGGGGCTTTACAAATTTCAGTTTAGAAATAAGCAAGCTGGGACCAGCAGTTAGCGTAATGGCTATGCCGCTGGACTCTCACGTGGTCGACCGCGGTCCGTGTCCTGAACACGGTGGCTTAAAACTCATGTCGGGCACATGTGCGTGCCTGCCCAAGATCCCAAGAGGGGAATGGAGGAGAAGGCATTGTGGCATGACCATCCCCCCTGGGGGGTGATCTCTCGCTTTCTGTCTGTCTCTGTCTGTCTGGTGAGCACACGTGCCCTATAGCAAAAACCTCTCCAAAAAAAAAAAAAAAAAAGAAAAAGAAAAAGAAGCAAGCTGAGGAATACCTGGTATAACAAGCTAATTTTGAATAGCAACAATATCACCTTTAAATAACGCAATTTTCTTCACTGGTACGCTCTTGAAAAACTCAGAAAGGAAAACAGGAAAAGAAGATAGATGACCTCTGATTCCCTCATGTGGATCTTTTCATGCCATTTTAAAGAGCCTAACAGAGAAAAGCAACCACATCTCCACCAAAGCAGCAACTTTAGGAAAGTTTTTTTACAGCTCTATACATAAAAAGAATTAAATGCCAAATAACGTGTTTTTTTAAATAGAAAAAATAATACATAAAACTCTAATCTATGAAAAATATAAAACGGTAATCACATCCTGTTTAAAGGTCTTCACCAGACCTAGCTGCCGCCGCCTTTTTTATTTCTAACAATATTATCACTATTTTTATTTTCATTTAAGCCAAACATGCCATGGGCTAAGGTTATTTACATAAGATATATGATTTACATTTTACACTTCAAATACATTTTTTTTAATTTCTTTTTTTTTTTAATTGGAGTTATGGCAGAAGTGCTTTTTTTGGGGGGGGGGGATTTTCGCTATAGGGCACGTGCGCTCGCCAGACAGAGAGAGACATAGAGACAGAAAGCAAGAAATCACCCCCAGGGGGGATGGTCACGCTGCAATCCCTTCTCCTCCATTCTCCTCTTGGGATCTTGGGCACGCACGCACACGCGCCCGGCGTGAGTTTTAAGCCACCGGGTCCGGGACGTGAACCGCGGTCAACTACGTGGGAGTCCAGCGACATAGCCATTACGCTAACTGCTGGTTCCCTTCAAATACATTTTTAAATGTTAAACAGTATTTTCGACTTTATTGTTCAAATTTTTATAAAACAGCTCCTGGCGACTAAGCCAACATTAGAAGAATTTTATAAATTACTTTCTAATGGTTATAGAATTAATTTTCCTCATTAAGTACCTATAAGGATCTAGCACATTCATGGTTTACAGAAAATAGCCAAGAATGTAGCACTGGTAGGTAAGTACTACAATAAATTTAGCCAAGCACTTAAGATAAAAGGACTGACTTTTAAGATCTAAACCCAAAATGAACTGTGAGAATATATTTTAAAATATCTTCCCAACCACTGTCAACATACTCCTTCATATTTTCACACAGCAAATTCTAGGAGTTCCGATTTTTTGTGTTTTTATACATCTTTCTATTGCGGCAGCTATCAATCTTCTTCCTTAATATAGGTCTTTGCACTAACCCGCACCCTTTGTCTGGCCAAGCACCTGCCTCTAGCTGACATTAGTTTCTTCCTTGCTCTGCTTTGCAGATGTGCTCAGTGCCTCGGGGGTCCCTCTTGCTCTTTGCCCTTCTCTTGCCTTTCCTGTGTGACTGTTTTGTTCCCAGTGACGATTCAGAACGAGAGGGCTTCTCTTGGTTTCTTTCATCGTCCTTCTCTATGTTCCTCATTTCGTTGGATCTTTCCTGGTCAAGAAACTTATCCTTGGCCCTAGAATCTGGGCTGCTTTCCCTCTGTCTTGACTCCTTTCTGAAGATTGAACACGCAGTTCTCGTCTTTCTCTCTCTCTGCGTTCATCATTATTTTCATATCTTTCCTTCCGCCCCTTCATATGTTCTTCCTTTCCTTTGCTTTTCTCTTCTCTCTCCTCCTCTCTCACTCTGTCGGTCATGATCATCTTGTTGCCTCTCTTTCTTGCTCCCTTGGAGACTACTTCCCCTTTTTCCATTTGCTGTCATTTCTTTCTCTTGGATCTCTCCCCCCCAGTTTATCTTCTTGTTCATGCTTCTTCCATTGGGAATCTCTATGACTGACCTCTGTGCCTGCAAGAATCCTTCTTTTCTTTTCAATGGTCACGGTCAGGGTAATAGTCCTCCTGGTCTCTGGATCGCCTGTTTCGGTGCATCTTCCCTTTTCGCACGTCCTCCTGACTTGGAAGATTCTAGGTGGCATATGGTACCATGCTCTCTTTCTCCACTAGATGACCATGAGTGAGTTTGATTCCGTGATGCTTGGAGTCATTGTCCAAGGTCTCTGTGACTTTTTATTTTGGAGAGGTTTTTGCTATAGGGTGTGTGTGTTTGCCCGAAAGACAGAGACAGAGAGACAGAAAGCAAGAAATCACCCTCCGGGGGGATGGCCATGCCACAATCCCTTCTCCTCCATTCTCCTCTCGGGATCTTGGGCATGCACGCACACACGCCTGGCGTGAGTTTAAGCTACCGGATCTGGGACACAAACTGCAGTAGACTACGTGGGAGTCCAGCGACATAGCCATTACGCCATCTGCTGGTCCCTGTGACTTTTTTCTTTTTGTAGTGTGTTTTATTTTCTACCATTTTGTCATCATCGCTGCTCTTCACATCAAAGTCACTGTCTGCATCTGGGTTTCCGATACTTTCATACAGGTCTGGAGACTGCATTGCTCATGTGGTATTTTGTTTTCTCAACTTACTTCATCGGAGTTAACCCCTTGATTTCTCCTCCTTTATGGTAGCCCTGGCTTCAAGAAAGCAGCATTTAGGTAATTTAACAGGTGTCTACAAATCCACTGAGATCTTCCTGCTTGGTTACATCCAAACATGCTTCTAGTGCAGAAAAGCCCTCTTTTCTCTTTCTTCCTCTTCACCTCGCTCCTGCAGTTTTTTCTTATAAGCAGATGTTGCAACTGCCTCTTTAGCGTCAAATTTCCCCTGTTATGTTTCTCATTCTCTCAGTATCTTCTTTTCCATTCTTTTTTCCTGTTCCTTTTTTTCTTTTTTTCCTGTTCCTTTTTTCTGGTCTCAACTGCTTTTAGTAAGTTGTGAATATACTTGGGCTTCTGGTCTTTTCCCAAAAGCAATTTGGGATTTTTTTCCTCCTTTTTTTTCCCCCTGCATTTCATCATAAATACTGTCATATTCATCCACAGTGGAATCTTCTGCAAGGGCCTTCTGATTTCCAGTTTTGTCTGTTTCATGTCCTGTTTCTTCGTTGCTTCCCGCTGAAGGCTTTCACTCACAGAAGTCTTGTCATCATCAGAATCATTCCCAAATACTGTTGGTTTTTGCAAACAGGGTGCAACAGCTGTGTTTTCTTTGGCAAAATAAGCCCACAATGGCTGCCTGGAATCGCCATCTTGCTGCCGCCTCCGCTCCAGACCCAGCTTCTTAATTTAGGTTTTACTAGAATGTTTCTCTCATTTTATTAGAATTTAGGTCTTATAAGAACTGGGTGAGGATGAACTAAATAAATATAAATCCTAGTGCGAAATGACTGTTAGTATAATTCTGCACTGGAAGAGGACACGATTTTCAATGGCTTGTGAAAATGTATCTTGCTATGTATATGGCTAAAACTCTTTTCTCTTCATGTTTGTATGCACTGAAAAAACGTCTAGAAATAAATACACAAAAATACCAATAGTGATCATGGTAGTGCAATTATGAGTGAGCTCTACCCCTTTTCTCTATTTTTAAAATGTTTCACAACATGATCTAATTGTAGGAAATAATCTTTTCTTGCTTGGCTTTTAAATATGAAACTGCAATGTTGAAATTCTATAAAATAAAAAAAATATCTGAAACACTATGCATATGTGAAAATGGGTCACTTGTAAATTTGCAATATTTCTTTTTTTTTTCCCAAGAATGATTAATTTTATTTATTCATTCATTTATTTTTTATTTGACCAGAGAGACACACAGAGAGAGAGACAGAGAGAAAGAGAGAGAGAAAGTGAGAAAGCAAGCCACCAGGTCCGGGACTCGAACAGTGGTTGGCCATCTGGGAGTATCCAGCACCTTAACCACCATGCCACCTGCTGGTCCCAATTTGCAGTATTTCCTAAAGGAGAGACTGTTTTAAAGGCATGAACAATGCTGAGTAAAGCAAAATGCCACAGTCAATTCCAAATATTAGAGGTTCTTTTATTCATTCAGGTATTTATAAAAATGCCAGTATTTATAAATGTGCCAATTCTTAATAACATGCCAGGTCCTATTCACAAAAAGATGAAGATCTCTTCCTGCAAAAGTCATAGTCCGGGGCCAACAGGTGGTATGGTGGTTAAGGCACTGGACTCCCACATGGTCAATCATGGTTTGATTCTCAGACCTGGCAAGTTGAAAAATCACACTGTGTGCATGTGCATGTACGTACAGAATACCAAGAGGAGAACAGAGTAGAAGGGACTGTTGTCGTGGCCATCCTGCCTGGGGGTGATTCCTCCAGTAAGCACATGTGTCCTATGGCAAAACCCTCTTAACAACAACAACAAAAAAAAGTCCTGGTCCAAAGGAGGATTGTCTTTATGAACTTATATAATTTTTTTAAAAAACTGTTATTTTTTTGGAGAGGTTTTTTTTCTTTGCTACAGGGTGTGTGCATTTGCCAGAAAGAGACAGAGAGACATAAAGTGAGAAATTACTCCCTGGGGGGGCGGGATGGCCATGCTGCAATCCCTTCTCCTCCATTCTCCTCTCGCGATCTTGGGCATGCACGCACACTCGCCTGGCCTAAGTTTAAGACATTGGGTCCAGGACTCGAACCACAGTCAACAACGTACGAGTCCAGCGATATAGCCATTACGCCAACTGCTGGTCCCCCTAAGTTAAAATTTCAAAATCTGAGTGTTACATGAGCATCTTCCAAAAGATGTTTTCTTTTCAGAGTTCTTCACATTTTCGTTTGTTTTGAATGACCTCCAAATCTCTCCATATTTGAGGATGGTCACTTAGCTTATCTGCAGATAAAATAAGTACAGCAAAATGTATAACTCCCTTTACTTGGGCATCTGGCAAGATTTTTTGAATTTCACATATTCAATGCTGAACTCCATTAACTTTAACCAGCTTGTACATTTTTGGCAGAGAACAGTTAGTTGGCTAATGAAACTGCTCAATAAATGAACAAAGCTAATCTAGGCCAAAGCCTATGATCCACAAAAGCAACTGAGGCCAAGTGTTCAGGTTTGTAACTACTTAAAATAAGCAAGTAGAAAAATCTTATTTTGGGCTCCCCTCCATCTTGATAAATGGAACTATCATCTGCCTAGCTACTTTAGCCAAAAGTCTCCATTGTTCTTGCTTCTTCTTCATTGTCCTCATCTAACCTATCAGACCATCACGGCGATTCTAACACCACAGTACATTCCTAGTCAGCATCGGCTTTTCACCTGGAATACTCTCTTGAATGGTTTCTCCTGCTCCAAATAATGGTCCTTTCCATCACGGTCCATCTGTTACAAAGATCATGTGGATAGTAAATAATAATAAATCATTTATTATTTATTTATTTAGAGATTTTTGCTATAGGGTGTGTCTGTGCGTCCCAGAAAGAGAGAGACAGAAAGTTAGAAATCACTCCCCAAGGGGGATAGCCATGTTGCAAGCCCTTTTCCTCCATTCTCCTCTGAGGAGTTTGAGCACGTACGCAACCAGCATGTGCTTTAAGCCGCTGGGTCTGGGACTTGATCTGTAGTCAATTACGTGAGAGTCCAGCAATGAAACCACTATGCCATCTGCTGGTCGCTGTTGACATCCTTTAAAACTCTTCAGTGGATCCGTCTGCACTTGAACAAAAACTGGACTCTTCGCTGTTGCTCACCTCACCTTTATCTCACTCTACAGTCACAATGCTCTTCCCTTCTTAAATATATCAAATTCCTATAGTCCCTAAGTTCTTTGCAAATGCTGGTCTTTCTCTTTGGAGTGCTAGTTAATCAAATCATTAGAAGGCTCTCCTTGGGACATAGTGATTAAGGTGCTGGACTCCCACATGGCTAACCATGGTTTGAGTCTCATACCCAGAGCCTTTCTTTCTCTCTCTCTCATAAACACACATGCCCTGTAACTAATAAAAAGAAAAAAAATGATAAATAAAATTAAATAACTCTTAAAAGAAGGCTTTCTCTCTCTCTCTTTTTTTTTTGGAGAGGTTTTTGCTATAGGGCTCGTGTGCTCGCCAGAAAGACAGACAGAGACAGAGAGACAGAAAGTGAGAAGTTACTCCCAGTGTGGATGGCTATGTCACAATTCCTTCTCTATTCTCCTCTCGGGATCTTGGGCACACATGCCCGGTATGAGTTTATGCCACTGGGTCTGGGACTCAAACTGTGGTTGACTACATGGGAGTCTAGTGACACAGTCATTACACCATCTGCTGGTACCATGTCTTTTTCTTTTTTTTTTTTTAAGAGATTTTTGCTATGGGGCACATGCACTCTCCAGAGAAACAGAGACAGAAAGCGAGAAATCACCCCCACTCCCTAACCCTCCTCCCTGCCTTGGAGATGGCCATGTCATAATCTCTTCTCCATTTTTCTCTCGGAATCTTGGACATGCACGTCCAGCAATGTAACCATTACGCCACCTGCTGGTCCCCAAAAAGATGGTTCTCTTGATCAACTAATCCACAGTATACTCACTCATCTGCCTGTATTCTGTCGGAAAACAGTTTGGCCTAATAATACTGTTAATGAATGAACCTGGGGCCAGCAGATAGAGCAGAGGTTAAGGCAGCTGGGTTCCACCATGGCCCACTGTACCATTCAAGTCCTGGCGCAGTGGCTTGAAAATCACATCGGGTATGTGTCTATGCATGCCCAAAACCCCAAGAAAGGATTGCTGCACCCCCCCATCTCCATTGCGAGGTGATTTCTCACTTTCCTCCTCCCCTCCACCCCATGTGTGGTGAGTGCACGTAGTCTATGGCACTCTATAAAAAAGGAGAGAAAATAAATAAATTAACCTGATCTGAGACAATGGATATGATCCATGAAAGATACTAAGGTCAATCATTCAAGTCAAGTACAGTGGGACCAGCAAATGGTGGGATGGTAGTTAAGGGGCTGGATTCCCAAATAGCCGAACACTGAGTTCTAGACACAGTGGTGTGAACATCACTTTGGGCATGTGTGAACACATGCCCTAAATCCTGTAAGAATGGAGGAGAAGGTATTGTAGCATGGCCATCCCCTCTGGAGGGTAATTTGTCACTTTTTCTCTGCGTCTCGCTCCTGCGAATATATGTGATCTAGGGCAAAAACCTTAAAAAAAGAAAATACCAAGTAAAAGTGGAAAAATCTTTGCGCTACATGCTACCTTTTTTACCTTGGGCCACTGCTACCATATCTTGCATTTTCTTGTACCTATTCAGGCACTGACGAAGATCTTCTATTTTCCGATCCTATGAATAAAATGATCATCTTTAGTACTATGATTTTAACACAGTCAAGATAATTGTGACACAAAGAATAAGTAGACATGAACTATTTACATTACTCAAAAATATTTCTAAACTTTAGTAAAACTGGTAATATCTAGAATACTTTTCCTACATACATCAGAGATATGGAAAAAGTACCTCTAAATTTAGAGATCCTATCCTTCAGTTGCCATCTTTAAAAAACAAGAACAAAACAAGGTAATAAGATACAAAACAAAACAAAAACAAGAAAAAATGTTAATTACTCTCTTCTCTAACTTATAAAGCCAAGTCTTGAGAGCAAGATCTACATTTTCTGTCTTTACCAGTCCTCATTAATTGCCCTCTAGTTTTCCTTTCTCAAAACCCTCTATCAAATGTTGCTCCAATTAGTCATCAGCAACTTCTTATCTGTTAAAAGCAACTTGATTTTTATGGGGATTGACTTCCTCGCTCTTTGCTTCTTCTTTCACTACTCTGTACACATTTTCTTTTCATGTATTTTATTTCTAAAATTTATTTTACAGATAGGGTCTCTATGTTGCCTAGACTGGCCTCGAACACATACTCCTGGCTCAGCCTCTTGAGTAGCTGGGACTACATGTGTCCACCAACATGCCCAGCTTTTTTTTCATATTCTAATTTCCCAATATCTTGACCAAGTAGATATTCTACTTCTGTAACTCCCACAATTGTCCCACCCTGGAATACAAAATGTCAAAGTTCTCTTTTCCCATGCACTTAACTGTGATATATTATAAAAGCCACCTTTCTAGCTCCTCCCATTACTGATTCTGGACCCGGCCTTGTGACTTGCTTTGGTCAATGAATATCAACAAATGTGAATCAATGAAAAGCATCCCTTCATTGTGGCTGCTCTACAGCAGGGGTCCCCAACACCTGGGCCACAGACAGGTACTGGTCCTTATTATTACAATCTAATAATAATAAAGTGCACAATAAACGTAATGTGCTTGAATCAGCTCAAAACCATGCCTCCAGCCCAGTGCGTGGAAAACCTGTCTTCCATGAAACCAGTCCCTGGTACCAAAAATGTTGGGAAATGCTGCTTTAGAAAACTTTAAACTCTGTGAAGACTCAATCTATTAGAGGATGAGAGATGATTTAGAGAAGAGACAATGATCCCAGCTGGGGCCAACTCCGGCCAGTCTGTTAATCAGCAGATGTGCAAGGTTTATTCGAGATTGTCCAGCCCCTTCTGAGCTGCTTGCTGATTACCAAGATCTACTAAGCCAGCCTGAACAGAAGAATGACCTCGCCAACTCATGGAAGTGTGAGAAATAACAAGTGCTGTTTGCCATAGAGCAAGAGCTCAGTTGCATCTTAGTGCCCAACAATCCGCCATTCTCTATTTCTAAAATTGATGGGGTTCACGCTCCACCAATCTGTAGTTCTATGTTAATTCTAAAATTCAGAATCATGGGACCAGCAGTTAGCATAATAGCTATGTTGCTGGACTCCCATGTAGTCGACCGTGGTTCGCGTCCTGGACCCGGTGGCTTAAAACTCACACCGGGCGCGTGTGCGCGCAAGCCCAAGAACCCAAGAGGAGAATGGAGGAGAAGGGATTGCGGCGTGACCATCCCTCCGGGGGGTGATTTCTCGCTTTCTGTCTCTCTTTCTCTGTATGTCTGGCGAGCGCACGTGCCCTATAGCAAAAACCTCTGCAAAAACAAAAAAGAATTCAGAATCATGTTCCAACTTTCTAAGAAAACATTTCTTAAAATATCCCAAGAGCACATTAAAATGAATAGATCTAATTAGGCTTATTATTATCCTCTAGTATTTGAGACTCTGCTTGCATTTCTTTCATACTTAGAGGTATCATTCACCCAGTTACTCAAGCGAGAAACTTATTTTCATTTCTCAAATTCCTAGATTTTTTTTTTTTTGCATTAAGCTACTTATTTAATTAATTACTTTATTTATTTTGGAGAGGCTTCTTTGCTATAGGGCATGTGCGCTCACCAGACAGAGACAGAGAGCGAGAAATCACACCCCGGGGGGGATGGCCACGCCGCAATCCCTTCACCTCCGTTCTCCTCTCAGGATCTTGGGCACGCACGCACACGCACCTGGCCACAGTGTCTGGGACGCAAACCGCGGTCGACTACGTAGGAGTCCAGCGACATAGCCATTATGCTAACTGCTGGTCCCTCAAATTACTAGATCTTTACATCTTGCCAACCTGTAATTATCTGAAATGTGTTCCCTCCTTACCACTTCACTGTCATTCCCTTACTTTAAACCTCATTTCTCACGTGGACTACTTCAACACATCCCTTAGTGATTTTCACCTGTCTTCCCTCTCCCATTCTGCTACCAATGTTAGCTTCCTAAAAAGGCAGTTTAATTCTGTCATTGCCCAAGGGCTATCAGCTGAGACCTCAAATCATGAGCCTAGCACACAATACTGCTGACATCTGACTGAGCTCTTGGTCAGCCCTGTGCCCTCCTTTCCATCTGTCTCTCACGCCAGCACTTTCCCAGCATGCACTGGGCTGTTTTAAGCCTGGGTTTTGAGACATGTTTTAGCCTAGAATCCTTCATTTTCCTGGTGGACAACTTCTGTGCTTTTTCAGATTTTTTTTTCCCCAAATATGTCCTTTTTGAAGCCTTCTGGAATGCCCAAGGAAGTTATGCTATCCTTGGTGCTCCCATCACAGTTTGAGCATCTGCTAAGTCTCATTAGACACTGCGAGTTTTGTTTTGTTGTCACTGCCTTTTGAGGGAGAAACTTAACACAAAACGAATTTCGGTGATTTCTTTTTTAAATACATGGCATAGTGGGGAGTCTGCTGATTACTGTTCTATTTATTCAAGAGGGAGAAAGATTAGCAAAAAGGAACCTCTACATAGGTGGGTGGGTATGACGATGAGTTTATTTCCATGGAATAAAGGACAAACAAACAAAAAGAAAACTAAAGAAGGAGATAAGAATAACAGAGTGGGCAAGAATTAGAGAAAGAAATTTCAGAGAGAAAAAGATCAAGCCAAAGTTCTTTGGTAGACTCTTGATTTTACTTTCTTGAAATTATTTTTTTCTTGGAAAAATGTCCTCTTGTTTTATTCATGAAGGGACAAAAGGGGACAGCGGCTCTGATGACATGAACCGAGCCTCCTTGTTGTTGCCTGCTAGGTATTCGGACAGTTGCTGAGACACAAACACACCACCTTCCAAGGCAAAGGTATCCCTGCTCTCAGGAGGACCATCGCCCTGGATGAGGACGAAGAGAACCAACTGGGGAAAAGCACCCCTGGGACCCTCGGCATGAGGCCAGTGTAGCCAAAATAAAGCGCAGGCCCATAATTGATTTTGTGATGCCTGTGCCCGTTTCCAGGTATGTCACTTCTCAGAAGAGCAAAGAATCCCAGATGTGTGCAGAAATTAATATGTGTATGGAGAAGAAAATCGATGTGACCGTGAAGTTAAAGGTGTCACAGGTGATCTCCTCCAGAATTCACATGTTAGTTAGCTGGCCCAGCCTGGTGTTGCAGTCCGCAGTAAACTGAACTGGGTTTTGAGACCCTGGATAGCCTGAAACACTGAGTACAAGGGCAAGTCCCAAATCCGGACAAACTTGATGGCTGGACAAAGAGGGTCACAGTGTGAAAAGACCCTGTCGAGGGTCCTATCCCTCCCCTGCCTCCCTCACATGTGCACACATTTATTAAGAAAATAAATCAAGATTTAAGAAATTTTTAAAAGGCGGCCAGCAGCTGGCATAGTGATTAAGGCAGCTGGATCCCCACATGGGTGACTGTGGTTTCCTGGATCCAGGGGCTTAAAACACACACTGGGCACATGTGCATGCGTGCCCAAAATCCCAAGAGGAGCACTGAGGAGAAGGGACTGCAGTGTGGCCATCCCCTTGGAGAGTGCTTTCCCTGTCTCTCTCTGTTTCTTTCTGGCAAACGCACATGATGAAATTAAAAAAAAAAAAAAAAAAGTAAATAAAAGAATTCACATGTTAGCTCAACATTTCCAGTGGCCGCAGGAAGGACGGTACTATTCAATGTATACTTTCTCTTTTCATTTGACTCTACAGTACTGATTTGGTAGCTTGAATATTTTTTAAGTTCATGGGGACAGTGGGTGAGGATCCTCAGTGGCGTCACACCGCCGCGGGGCCCTGTTCCCACGAGCACAGCCACAGTTACAGCCGCCATTACTGAGCGTGTGTGTGCCCTCGCTCCTCGCGTCCCAGTGCTTTAGGTAAATTCTTTCAATTGAGGTTATTTCAAGAAATGGCACAAAATGATCAAAAGAGTGTTGGCAAACATCCACATAAATATTTAAATTTCATCTGGATACCTTTTCTTCATTTGCTGCCATCAAAGACTCCACAGCTTTTTTCATCTTTTGTACTTCAATATCTGAAAACACAGAACATCACAGTGTAGTTAATATACGTGACGGCGATGAGAAGCTACTTACTGTTCAGATTGAAATGCTTTACAGTACAAATGTTAATAATTTATTTTATTTATCTATGTTTTTAAAGGGCAAATCTAACACCCATATTCTCTTTTCAGAAAACCCTGAAAGATAAATACCTTCTACCTCATCTGAACAGCTGTCATTCCAGAAAGAAAATAAGAGTATGGACAAGTCAACGATCCACTCTCAGAACAATAACGAGAGCTTCAGGAGAATACCAAAGATGAAGTATGAGTGCTACCACAACTGGAAGCATGGAGTTTTCAAAAAAGAAACCTATAAAGCAGTGGGTCAAAGCAATGAATAGTATATACAATGGCAAAAGCAGAGAAAATGATACTTGGTTATAACCAAGACAGAGATGCAAATGGTAAGAGCCTGATGAAGTGTGATGTTTACATGTGAAATCATGCTAAGAAGCTGGCTGTAGGTTCCACATGGAAGGTAAGAACTTTGCTTCATCTATAAACTTCATTTCCAGTACTATTTTTAAACAGATTCTAAGACATAAAGGCCAAAGTAAGCTGTATGTGATTTCCCTTAAAATGTGATATTCAGATATAAAAGAATGTTACTTCAATAATAAGAAAATCAGGGGATGGGGCTAGCAGGTGGTGTGGTGGTTAAGAGCACTGGACTCCCCACATGGCTGACTACAGTTCGAGTTCCAGACCTGGCGGCTTGCTATCTCACTTTTCTTCTCTCTCTCTCTGTCCCTCTCTGGTCACATTAAAATAAATAAATGAACGAATGAATAATAAAAATGAATAATTCTTTAAGGAAAAAAAAAAAGTCAGGGGGCTGAATGGCCCAGCAACCAGTGCTTTAGGTAAATTCTTTCAATTGAGGTTATTTCAAGAAATGGCACAAAATGATCAAAAGAGTGTTGGCAAACATCCACATAAATATTTAAATTTCATCTGGATACCTTTTCTTCATTTGCTGCCATCAAAGACTCCACAGCTTTTTTCATCTTTTGTACTTCAATATCTGAAAACACAGAACATCACAGTGTAGTTAATATACGTGACGGCGATGAGAAGCTACTTACTGTTCAGATTGAAATGCTTTACAGTACAAATGTTAATAATTTATTTTATTTATCTATGTTTTTAAAGGGCAAATCTAACACCCATATTCTCTTTTCAGAAAACCCTGAAAGATAAATACCTTCTACCTCATCTGAACAGCTGTCATTCCAGAAAGAAAATAAGAGTATGGACAAGTCAACGATCCACTCTCAGAACAATAACGAGAGCTTCAGGAGAATACCAAAGATGAAGTATGAGTGCTACCACAACTGGAAGCATGGAGTTTTCAAAAAAGAAACCTATAAAGCAGTGGGTCAAAGCAATGAATAGTATATACAATGGCAAAAGCAGAGAAAATGATACTTGGTTATAACCAAGACAGAGATGCAAATGGTAAGAGCCTGATGAAGTGTGATGTTTACATGTGAAATCATGCTAAGAAGCTGGCTGTAGGTTCCACATGGAAGGTAAGAACTTTGCTTCATCTATAAACTTCATTTCCAGTACTATTTTTAAACAGATTCTAAGACATAAAGGCCAAAGTAAGCTGTATGTGATTTCCCTTAAAATGTGATATTCAGATATAAAAGAATGTTACTTCAATAATAAGAAAATCAGGGGATGGGGCTAGCAGGTGGTGTGGTGGTTAAGAGCACTGGACTCCCCACATGGCTGACTACAGTTCGAGTTCCAGACCTGGCGGCTTGCTATCTCACTTTTCTTCTCTCTCTCTCTGTCCCTCTCTGGTCACATTAAAATAAATAAATGAACGAATGAATAATAAAAATGAATAATTCTTTAAGGAAAAAAAAAAAGTCAGGGGGCTGAATGGCCCAGCAATAAAACACAATACCCTGTGAGGCTGACCCACGAGAAGGTTCAGGGGTTGTGTCTGGACACATCCCTGCGTACACTCAGTACGCGTGTGCCTGGGTTCCCGGGCTGACTAAGGCTGAGCACGGACTACAATGTAAAAGACCCTGTTAGGGGTGCTATCTCTTGCTATCTCTCTCTCTCTCTCTTTCTCACTCATTGAAAAAGAAATAAACTTAAAGAACAATTCCAAAAAGTTTAAGGATAAAAAGTCAGCCAAAGTGAAACCACAAACTGAATACTGGAACACAAAAATACTGAAAAGCAGCTAAAGTTACTTGCTTCTGAGAAAAGAAAATAATGCTACTTAATTTTAAAATATAGTTGTGCAACATTCAGTGCTGACATAACATTTTTTATTAAGCTATATCTTATAGGGGTGGTCTTTCTCTCACTTCCCCCCACCAAAGGCAAATTTTTTCAACTTCGTAATTCAAAGTCTAGGGGAAAGGGTCCATTAAGGATTTATCTTTCTGTTGCATTAAATAAGGTAATAAAGGATTAGAACCAGCAGTCGACATAATGGCTAGGTCGCTGGACTCCCATGTAGTCAACCGGGATTTGAGGCCCGGACCCAGTGGCTTAAACTCATGCTGGGTGTGTGTGCATATGTGCCCAAGATCCCAATAGGAGAATGGTGGAGAAGGGATTGCAGTGTGGCCATCTCTCCTGGGGGGTGATTTCTTGCTTTCTGTCTTTCTGTCTCTCTCTGTCTTTCTGGCAAGCTCACACACTGTATAGCAAAAATCTCTTTAAAAATAAAAAAAAGATAATAAAGGATTTCTCTTTCTGTTGCTCCATTACGGAGCCTGGGTACACTCTCGTTTGTAACACCAAGCGGACACATTCACAGAAGCCTGCAATGCAGAGCTCAGTGAAAGTGAGCTTCAGAACACTGGAAAGCAAAAGCAAACTTCGAAATGATGCTTCAACCGTGATGAACCTTAAAAACAGTAGGTTTGTAGAAATACCAATGTTATTTCCTCCTCTGACTCTCTATCATCTAGACCACAGAAGAAACGTTTTTTGTCACCACCCTTTTGGCCTTTCTGTTGTATTCCATCGAGCAAAGGGGCTAAATCAGACAAAATTTGCAAAATGATCTTTTACCCCTTGTTTTTATTGTCTCTCTGTTTATCCTCTATTCTGTGCACGCTGAAGAAATGGAGGGCTTATCGATGAAGCAACTTTATGTCTTTGGTAAGAGAAATGTTTTAAAACACATGCAAAGAACAGTTCAAGTAGTATTTTTGGTGAATGTAGAGGCTGATGGAAATACACCAAAAACCTTACTTTTTTCTTTGAGCTTCTTTTTAAAATTTTCATCTGTGCAGGAAAACCCATTGAGTCAGAAGTTAGCAAACATTACAACAATAAATAAATAAATAAATAAATAAATAAATAAATATCTCTAAAGCAGTGCTATTTGGTCTCTTTTTGTCCAAAATAAATGGACTCTAACTTCAAGAAAACTGAATAGTAAGCACTATTTTGGAATTTTAAGACTGCTAGTCTAACAGCTAATGCTCTGTGTGAGGACAGAGAAGGTACCACGATTAATCAGAAGACCTAAATTCACATTACTACCTCTGTGACTTTATCCTCCCGAAACTTGATTTTCTTGTATTAAAACAAGCCTCATAAGTACAGGCACTTTTCATACTATTTGTGATTAAAAACAAATGGTGCTTTGGTCATATTTACATTTCTGTCACAGTTTCATACATGGTCCACCTTATCGTGACCACAGGGGTTCCTCCACATCTGCAGGAGTATGTTCCTAAACTCCCATGGATGCTGAAACTGCACATGGTACCAAACCCTGTATATGCTGAATTATTTTCTCTATACATTGGGACGAAAAATATAGGAAAAATGCATCATGACTTTCCTGATGGCTCAATACATACCTACGATAAAATTTAAATTATAAGTTAAAATTTATAATTAAGAGATTAATGGTAACTTCATAGAAAAGAACAATTATAACAACATATCATGTGACGTGCATGCCTTGCAAAATATCTTACTGTACTATATTGTCTGTTTTTGAACTGCATTGGGCTGTGGCAACTGAAAACCTGGGCAAGCAAAACCGCAAAAAAGGGACGGGCAGATATGACATGCTCGTTCTGTTGCACCCATTCAAGGTTAACAGCACTGGAATGGTCTAGCTCTTGCTCCTCCTTTTCTGCGAGATGGGTTCACTGATGATTAGCTAATGGATGTCCTAATAGCAGACTGCCATGAAGTTTCTAAATACTGGCTCTCAATCACTGATTTACCTCGTACTGTTCTGATAACAAGCAGTTCCAGTCCTTGGATATAATATATTCTCTAGCCCATAAGTCTTATGATTCCATTTTATTCTTAAAACCCTACAAACAGGGGGTCAGCAGGTGGCATGGTGATTAAGGAGCTGGACACTTCCACATGGTCAACTGCGGTTAAAGTCCTGGACCTGGTGACTTGTTCTCTCACTTTCCCCCTTTCTTTCTCTGTGTGTCCCTCTCTGGTCAAATTAAGAAAAATGAATGAATAAAATTAAATAAAATAATTCTTTTAAAAAGCCAAAAAAAAAAAAAATCTACAAATGAGCTAGCTGGTGGTATAATAGTTAAAGACAACTGGATTCCACATGGCTGACCATGTGGTCCAAGTCCCGGACCCAGTGACTTAAAAATCACACTGGGCACATGTGCCTGTGTGCCCCAAATCCTGAGAGAACAGAGAAGGAACTGTGGCATGGGGGTACTTTCTCTGTCTCTATCTCTCTCTCTGTTTTTCTTTCTGGTGAGTGCATGCACCTAATAGCAAATTTAAAAACCAAAACAAAACCTCACTAAGAAAAAAAACACCCTTCCCCACAAAACCTTACAAGCAGGATTTGTTTCCAAATGTACATCAATACACAATTGCTTGTCAAAGGCAGAAAAATCCATTTCCCTGAAGCTTGCTGAGTTTTCTGTTAAATAGAGAATTATAATACCTACAAATAAATAAATTCATGGTGTTCTGGAGTTAAGAAAGATTTTACAGGTAATCTAATTCAAACCCCTCATTTTACAGTACAGACAATAACATTACTGGTTTTCACATAATAAACAAAAAAATGTACCAAATGTACTAACTAGAATCTGTTGTTTCTTTTTCTTTTTTTTTTTTTTTTCTCTCTCATTTTCAATTTGCCAGAGGGCACATGTGCTAGCCAGAAACAGATAGAGACCGGGAAGGTGAGAAAGCATCCCTTACGTGGCATGGTCATACAGCAATCCCTCCTCCTCCATGTCTCCCTCACTTTGGGGGGATCTGGGGCACACTTGCACAGTGACTTGGTGTTATTTCTCAGGCTGCAGGGTACGAGACTCAAATGTGTGGTTGGCCATGTGGGATCCAAGCACTAACCACCATGCCACTACCTGGCCCTGTTGTGTTTCTAATGAGTCAGTGGTGCTTGGGTATCTTAGAGTGTCACAGTCATCATTTGTAACCACAAAGAAAGGTTAAATTTGACTTGGCATTGTTGGGTGTTACACAAGTATTTCAAAATACAATTTCTAAAGACACACATCTTATGCAAGTTATTTTCTACCACGTCTAAAATACACATTAGAGATTAGTCTACATAATACTCAGAACAAACTCCTTAGTTATGAAAAAACAGATGATCATGCATTTTTCCAAAAACAGAGTTAGCCTACTTTTGCTTTCTACTAAAAGGTTGAGGGCTCAACCCTGTCAGAAATTGTCATGACTTTTCCAAAGACAGAGCCATTCCTCTCTTCTCTCAGGAAGGAAAGGTTTCTAAACCCTTACTTTATCTTGTCTCAAATTCGGTGCTGAGGGAAACAAAACTTAGGATGTAGTAACGATTCCTTTTAATTCTTTTTACATCCATCTGAACAATTAAAATTTCAGAAAGAGAAGTTACAATTTGGTAATCTAAAATGAACATTCAGTAAGGTACAGAATTGCTCTTTTCTAGTTGCTGAAGAGGAAGTTAACATTCCCAATCACAGTAAAGGATCTTAGAGAGTCCTTTTGGGTCCTGAGCCTATTTATATGATTTCTGCTAACTTTATTTGCTGCTAAAATTACACATTGACTCAGTTGCTCCCCTAGGTTTTAGGGGATTTTAACAATGTAAGACAACAAACATTACATATATAGTCTTACCTCTATCAAGAATCTCAATCCCTTCTCCTTTCATCTTGCCAACCAGTTTTTCTTGCAGTCTTTTTACTTCAGCTTCTTTCTCTTCCAGTTGTTCTTTTAAAGATGCTAGTTCATCCTACAAATCAAACATTCATTTTAAAATAGTACATTATGACTGAAAGAATGTTCAGAGGGGATATTAACTCTCCAAATCAATAATTATATCAAGCAAAAGACACAAAAATCTACAAGAATTTAGACACAAACAGTGGAAATGAGATGATGGCAATGATAAGCAGGAAGCAAAGCTATTAATACAGGAGGGAGGGTCTTCAAAAAGTTCATGGAAAAGTATAATGAAAAAACACACGGATTTCAAATTTTTTGTACCAGAATAAATGTGTATTTTAATTCCATTTTCCCACAAATCTTTTGAAGTCTCATTATAAATCTAATTTATAATAATTACTGTATAATTGTTGTAAGTTTTTTGTGTATGTGTGTGTGAGAATTTAAAAGACATATTTTAAAGAATAATTAGGGCTAGAAAAGTCTTAAGGGTCAACTTTTATGTTACATTGCAAAACTCTGACCAAGATAGCTGGAGAAGATCATCAGACTATGCAGGTAATATAATAAAAAGCAAGCTACGATGCAAATGGGAAAAGATCTGCTGGCCATCTCCTCAGCATTTCGAGACTGTACTCATGCTTCCTGGGCAAGCGTAGAGCTTAGTGGGTCAGGGAGCAAGCTGTGGACATATTTAGCCAAATCATGGGACTAAACCATTCATTGTCATCACTAAGTAAAAGGCCTGAATCTCCTGCAAAGGTGGAAAAAATACACTTAGAAAACAGGGGCCAGCCAGGTGGTGGTTAAGATGCCGGCTAGAAACGCCAACTGCATGGTTCAAGTCCCAGACCGGTGGCTTGACCAACATGCCAGGTGCACCCAAAACCTGGAGAAGAAACAGAGGAGACGGGGTTGCAGCGTGGCCATCCCCTTGGCGGGTGCTTTCCCACTTTCTCTCTGTCTCCCTCCAAGGAGCACACATGCTCTATAGCAAAATTTCAAAACCAAACCAAACCAGACAAAAGGAAAAACACCAGCTATTTTAGGTCCTCTTTTTTTTTTTTTTTAAACTACATAACTATTAAAGACTCCATGTCCACTGTTTTATTTATTTACTGTTTTAACCTTGCGTTTTATTCGGTAATGAATCAGCTAAATTTACATTTTGCTGGTTAAATACAGGAAATAGAGTTATCCAATGCTAATAATTACAGCTTCATATTTGATATTACATTTTATTTTCAGAGTTGCTCAAGATATGCATTTCCTATTTTTATGTTTGCAACCTGTTAAAAGGAGCATCCCCTGGCTAGAGGAGAGAGAGCGTGAGTATGCACATTCCAGTAGGGCGTGGTCATGCTGCAATCCCTTCTCTTCTATTGCTCCACTCTGTCAGGATCTTAGGCACATAAACATAAGCACACATCTGGTGTGTCTTCCAAGCCACCAGGGCCAAGATTCAAACTGCATGGTCGGTCAAGTGAGATCTAGCTGCTTTAATCACTAGGCCATGGGACTGGCCCTCTAAAGGTATTTATTACATGAATAGACACTGCCCTCCTATGAAGCCAGGAAGTTGGTCTTGTAGTTTTGATTTATGGTAGGAGTGAACACCAAGAATAAGATATTTTCCATAGCTATGGAAAAAAAAAAATGTTGCCCTGGCGCTCAGCAGTTGGCGTGGTGGTTAGGGTGCTGGACTCCCACATGGCCAACCGTGATTCGAGTCCCATACCTGGTGGCTTGTTTTCTCACTCTGCCCTCCTTCCTGCCTCTGGTGAGCACCTATGCCCTATAGCAAACTTAAATAATGCTATTACTACTAATTATAAATAAATAAAATTTAAAGAAATGCTGCCTTATTCTCTCTGTGCTGCTTCTAAGCAGTAATTCTGTTCACTGCCATGATACATTAACTGCTATATACTTTTGTCTTTAAGAAAACCCAGAGAGGGGAAAGCAGTTTTTCCTGTTTTGACATGAAACGGAATTCTGTCACAGGTAAATCTTTTTTTTTTTAATGTTTGAAATTTTTTTTTATTTAACTTATTCATTCATTTACTTTAATTTGACCAGAGAAAAACACACACAGAAAGAGAGAGAGGGAAAGTGAGAAAGCAAACTGCCAGGTTCAGGACTTGAACCATAGTTTGCCATATGGGAGTGTCCACTGCCTTAATCACCACACCACCTGCTGGTCTCCATGTCACAGATTAATCTTAACAATTAATGATTGTATCATGCTTGGGTCTCAGACAGCCTAAGAGAGTTAGATTTAGTTTATAAAGTAATACTGTCATTATATCTGTTTATTATTTTTCACTGATTATTTCAAAGATTTCTGAAAACAATACTAGGAACCACAATGTTCCTTCATACAGCTTTAAATGTATTTTGAATAAACAGGCAACACACACAAAATGAATGCACACACCACCAAAAACACCATCACAGCAAGACGACACAATCCAGAAAGCCACAGGCCACGGATCCCATTACCCAACGGCTACTACACCTTCAGTGACTCCCATTTTTGCTCCATCCGCTGCTTTTCATACTGCATCTGACCCACCTTGATTTTCATGCTAGAAAGTTTGGCCATTAAAGACTGGTAGAGAGACAGAGTTGTGAAAGAAAACTATAGATAGAAAAAGACAAGCTAAGTAACCAAGAAAATAGTATCAGTTTATGAAAGAGGTTAGAAATGGCAGGATATGGTCTGTCAGATCAGTTAGCTTTGTTTTTTATTTACAACAGTGTTACATTCAAAGTTCCCAGCTTAGGGAAAAACTTTATTCATATACAAAGTATCTTCTTTATCATATGCTAAATAGGAAACATTTATATTATTGGTCATAGATTAGTAATAGAGCCATTTGTTTAAGGTGAGAAAACTTACTTTGGTTGACTTAAGCTTTTTTTCATACTGAAGTCTTTCACTCTCCATTTCACTGATTTTCAACCTCAAATCATTGATTTCCTGCATTAGCCCCTATTCAAAAAGAAATAAGGAAATACGTTAGGTAAACAGTAATGCCGTTAGGTACCTACACAAAATAGCATCTTGGAAATTACAGGATATCGACAGTTCCTAGAATTAAAGTTATATGAATTAGATCAAATGAACAGAATAGATATGTCTCCTTAAGAATCAAAACATGGGGGCCAGCAGATGGTATGGTGGATAAGGCGCTGGACTCCCACATGGCAGAACATGGTTCGAGTCCTGGACTTGGTGGCTTTCTTTCTCACTTTCCTTCATTCCCTGGTAAGTGCATATGCCCTATTGCAAAACTGAATAATAAAAAATAAATAGTCTTGAAAAGTCAAAACATTTTCCCATTTAAAAGTGGTTTAGGGGCCCTCAGGTGGCATAGTGGTTAAGATGCTGGACTACCACAGTTCAAGTCCTGGATCTGTTGGTTTGAAACTCACACTGGGTATGTGTGTTCTCACCTAATATCCTAAGAGGAGAATGAAGGAGAAATAGACTGAGGTGTGGCCATCCCCCTGGTGTGTGTGTGTGTGTGTGTGTGTGTGTGTGTGTGTGTGTGATTTCTTGGCTTCTGTCTATCCCTCTGGTGAGCACATGTGCCTTACAGCATGTAGATTTATAAATTTATAGCCCTATAAATCTCTCTCAACAATAAAACAGTACTTTAGGGCCAGCTACGTGACCTTGTGGTTAAGTCGGCTGAATCCCACATGGCTGACCCTGTGGTTTGAGTCCTGGACTGGGAAGCTTGAGGAACGCCAGGTGCATGTGCACGCATGCCCCATATCCTGAAAGGAGGGAGAGATGGAGGAGAAGAGATTGTAGCATGACGATTCCCCATTGGGAGTGCTTTCTCTTCTTGCTCTCTTTGTCTCTCTCTGGTGAGTACATACACCCTGTAGCACAAACACACACATAGCTTTAAAGATGCAATGCCTCTGCTCTAAAGTGCAGGGCTTATGAGAATAAAAGAAACGTAGCTTAGGGGCCAGCAGGTGTGTGGTGACTGATGAGCTGGACTCCCATATGGCCAACTGCAGTTTGAGTCCTGGACCCGGTAGCTTGAAAATCACACTGGGCCTGTGTGCATACCTGCCCAAAAAATCCTGAAAAGAGACTGGAGGAGAAGGGATTGGGATGGGGGAGTGATTTCTCACTTTCTCTCTCTCTGTTTCCATCTAGTGAGTACACATGCCCTATGGCCAAAAACAAAAAAAAAAGCTTAAATTATGACTATTATTTGTTTGATATTTTTAGACTAAAAACAATTATAGAACTCTACCTTTCAAAAAATAAAAAACTTTAGTAAAGTCATTTACCTTTAGGGTCCTTCCTGTGATCTATAGTATTTATTAAGATATTTTGCATAGAAAAATACACCCCGACTTTCCCAACAACCTAGTAATTCCTTCTTTTGTCTACAAAAATACAGATCATTCACCAACTCAACATGAGAGAATAGAATGAAATGAAAACCCTTTACGTCAAAAACTCTCAACTTAAAGATGATAGCCCTATAGTTCATAACTTTTATTTGGAACATTAAAAAAAGCAATCCTAATGCTTTCAAAATACAATACAATTCGACACTATTTCTGTTGCCACTTTTAATAATATTGATGTTATTATATAACTTCTCTGCACATTCTGAGAAGCAGTGGTCCAGAGCCCAGAGACTTGGAAAAGGAAATTGGGGATACAAGCACCTCCAAAAGAGAAGCTCAAACAGTCTACTAAGGAGACAGTTGTTTCTTACTATAAGCCATGAAGACCCCCCTAATAAATAGTAAGTGTTTTTGCACTCCTTTTTTTATAAAACACTCCTCTTTTTATTTCTGGGCCATGAATTCATAGACTATAGAACAGAATTATACCAGAAAGACAAAAGAAACACATAGAATAATGTTATAAGAAATAAAGCTTTGTTAAATAGGGGTTACTCTAACCTTCCAAGGGTAATGCTCTAAGGTCATGAAGGCTGGGAAAAGGGGTACTATAGTGAATATATTTCCTAGTAAACTCATAGGCTTTTATTATTTTTTAAAGAAGTATTTAATTTTATTCATTCATTCATTTATTTTTAATTTGACCAGGGAGAGATGGAGAGAAAGTGAGAAAGCAAACTACCAGGTCTGGGACTTAAACCACATTTGGCTATGTGAGAGTCTAGCACCTTAACCACCATGCCACCTGCCATCCCCCTCACAGGCTTTGAAACTGGTCTCTTAATATAGTCAACTGCTGCATACATTTACCTTCAAGAAAGTCCTGAAGGGGGGCCAGTAGGTGGTGTGGAGGTTAAGGTCTCTGGATCCCACATGGTCAACTATGTGGTTCAAGTCCCAGACCCAGCGGCCTGAAAATCATACTGAGCATGTGTGTGCATGCCCAAAATCCCAAAATAAAGGACTGCAGTGTGGACATCCCCGCCAGGGGGTAATTTTTTTCACTTCCCAACCCCCTGTCTCTCTCTAGTAGTGCGTACACCCCATAGAAAAATAAAAGTAAAAATTAAAAAAAAATTAAATAATAAAGTGTGTAAAGTAAAAAGCAGTCTTCTGGCTGATATGAAACAGATTCTTTCTTAGGTAAACTTTTACTTATTTTGCCATCTTGGTCTCAAATAGTAGATGAGAGTTAAGATATAATTTATAAATTAATACTTTCATTTATCTGTTTAGTATTTTTCACTCATGTTTCTAAAAACAATGTTAGGAATTAAATCACTCGGATTATCAGTTTTAAATGATATTACTGACAACTATAATACTTACAGTATTTCGATAAGAGGAAATCTATTTTCTCCTTCTGTGAATGAGATCTATTAATCAAACTGTTTGATGTCATTCAATGTTTCTGTGATTCCTTATCAACAAGTTCAGAACTCAAGTTCTAAGAAAAAAAATCAGTTTCTCCCACTTATTTAAATGAATTCCCCTTATACAATATGGGTCTTTAGTGATCTTCCTTCATTAATCTGGTATATTTTAAATTATATATTTTCCCACTCTCTAATTATTAAGAAAAAGCTTTGGATTCCTATCTGGTATTGTTGTATTTTACAACTCCCTTTAGAAAGAACAGCAATTTGTAAGAAAGAAGAAACAATGGAAGAAAATGGAATTATAAATCAGGATAGTTTTTCTTTTAAAAAAAAAAAAGACCTACACAATATCTTTTGTGGAAATGCTTAATTATGATCTAAATTTCCAACCTGAAAAAAGTCAAATTGTCGAAGGTAACTCTAGCCGAAAGATCTGGAAATACCTTCTTAATATGAAACTTTAAAAAACAGGATACAAGTCAATCAATTTCTTATCATAAATTCAGTCCTCTTAAAAAAGAAAATCTAGGTTACCTCTTTTCCCTTTCAGACAAATTATCAGAACCCCTTCTGAACTCATTTTCTGACATTTGTGCTCCTACCAGTAGGGGGCACTGTTGAGCAATGCTAACAACCTCCCATCAACAATTCTTGAGACAACTAAGTCCTGAATCTGCCAAGGCTTAAAGACTTTCTTCCTTTTTTTTTTTTTTTTCTGTTGAAAATCTTTTGAAAATACCAATACTTCTTCCCCAATGCAATATTTTCTTAGAAGTCAATATCCAAATAGTCTAAAATTCTAATATAAAGTTTAAAGATTTTTGATTCGTGGAATAGACAGAAAAAACTTGTTTTTATTAAGGGCATAACAATAGGGACATGAGCTTTAATTTTCTCAATTCGATTTTAATCTTAAAAGCTATATTTTTAAAGAATTTTATTTAATTTTATTTATCCTTATTATTTAAAAAATTTTGAACACAAAGAGACAGAGAGAAAGGGAAATAAAGAAAGCAAGCCACCAAGTCCAGTACTCGACCATGTGTGAGTCCAGGGCCTTCACCACCACACCACCTGCTGGCCCCTTTAGATGATTTTAGTTATTTTCAAATATTAGATAGCAAAGTTTATCAGACATTCTAGAATCTCCAGGTATATGCATACTGTATTTTACCAGCAGTGTTAAATACTTACTAGAAAAGGGATTATGATTAGGGATTATGTTTACTGGAAGTTTGATGACAAGATCCCTTGGCATATGATTGGGAATGTAGGAGTAAAGTAAGGAAGCAGTGGGAAAAGAAGTTTGATAGAAAATGCAGACAAATTCAAGGGATATGTACATAGGTCTGAGGTCTTACAAAGCAAGCAACAAATAAACGAATAAAACATGAATGCATTTCAGTACCAATGTTTGGTTACCATATCATACCCAAATTAAACTATGGGTTAAAACCTCCCTTAAACTTTGTGCGTGTACTACAGAAGGCCACCTCTATCTCATGTGCTCTAACTTCTTTCCCTGCAGCAGACACAGCCTCGCCGCCATGCTGTCCACTCTTACTTTACAGAACTATGAGGTCAGAGAATGACAGAAAGGAAGATGTCTGAACAGATTTCAAAATATATATATTTATTTTTAATCTTATTTTTTATTCTTATTTATTTTTTAAATTTGACCAAAGAGATAGAGTGAGAGAAGGGAAAAGTGAGAAAGTAAGCTGCCAGGTCCAGGACTCAAACCACAGTCAGCCATGTGGGAGTCCAACACCTCAACCACCATGCCACCTGCCAAGCCTCCAGAACAGATTTTTAAAGAAAACACAAAAGCAAGAATTTTAAAGAAATTGGGAAACTTTCTAAGTCCTGTTCTAAGAGCCCAAATTTTCATCAAATGAGAAACATGCTGAGACAGGTGACTGACCAAGATGGCAACATGAGGGCCAGCAGGTGGCATGGAGATTAAGGCAGCGGGATCCCACAAGGCCAACTCTCACAGTTTGAGTCCTGGACCTGGTGGCTGGAAAATCACAAGTGCCTGTAAATGTGCCCAAAATCGTGAGAGGAGATTGGAGATGGGATTGCGGCGGGGCCATCCCCTTGGGGGGTAACTTCTCATTGCCAATTACCCCCTCCGGTGAGCACAAGTGCCCTATAGCAAAAAAAAAAAAAAAAAAAAGAAAAGAAAAGAAAGGAAGAAAATATGTTATGAACCAACTTAGAGATTTCCTTTTCATACTAAAGAAGCAGAATACATAGTCAGATTCAGACTCTCCATTATACTTGGGTGTTTGATAGAAGGTTTAGTTTTGAAAATGGCACAGGGGTTAAACGTTATCTCCTAATCTATAAAAGACTTTTACATAGTGGATGATACATGTAATGTACCTGGTATCATAACATAGTGAACACAATACAAATGTTTTAAAGGAAGACAGAGGAGAGAAATAAATTCCTCTCCACTCTCTTTCTTGATCCTGACTTTCTGACCTGTATGACACCTCTCCATATTCCAACTGAGAAGACAAAACAGAAAAGGGGAGATGGTCCTTGGAGAGAAGGAATTTCTGCAGTTCTTCATATTTCATTTCAAATGAACGGATTTCAAATAGGCATGTTCTCTCCCGTAAAACAAACAAACAAAAGACCTCTAGAAGATCTAGATTAATAATGAAAAAGGGAGAATCAAACAAGAGGCTTTTTTAGCCACCTAAATGGGTACTTTTTTTGGAGAAAAGGGGAGATGGTCCTTGGAGAGAAGGAATTTCTGCAGTTCTTCATATTTCATTTCAAATGAACGGATTTCAAATAGGCATGTTCTCTCCCGTAAAACAAACAAACAAAAGACCTCTAGAAGATCTAGATTAATAATGAAAAAGGGAGAATCAAACAAGAGGCTTTTTTAGCCACCTAAATGGGTACTTTTTTTGGGGATGTGTGCATGTTCTCTCCCGTAAAACAAACAAACAAAAAACCTCTAAAAGATCTAGATTAATAATGAAATAGGGAGAATCAAAGAAAGGGCTTTTTTAGCCACCTAAATAGGTACTTTTTTGGGGGGTGTGTGAGCTCGCCAGAGAGACAGAGAGACAGAAAGTGAGAAATCACCCCTCATGGGGGATGACCATACCACAATCCCTTCCCCTCTATTCTCCTCTCGGGATCTTGGGCCTGCACGCACATGCGCCCGGCGTGAGTTTAAGCCACCAGGTCTGGGACTCGAACCGCGGTTGACTACATGGGAGTTCAGTGACATAGCCATTACGTAACTGCTGGTCCCTTAAATGGGTACTTCGATTTGTAAAATCTACCTTGAATTTGTGAGCCTTATTTAACTAGAATGATTTACTTATGAAATAGACCAAAAAGTAAGAAGGCTAAAAAGCTCTGTAATTTTATAATTATGTAATGTATGTATGCCCTCTATACATCTTTTTAAAAATAATAATTTAATTTAAATTTATTATTATTAATTTGCTATAGGGCATGTGAGCTCACGAGACAGAGAGAGAGAGAGAGGAGAGAGAGAGAGAGAAAGTGAGAAAGCAAGCCACCAGGTCTGGGAGTCAAACCATGCTCAGCCATGTGGGAGTCCAGAAGCCTTAACCATCGTGCCACCTGCTAGCCTTTCTATACATGCTATACTTTCTATACATATTTTTTTAAAATCCAATTATATAGTAAATAATCAGTGCCTAAATAGTAACTATTAGTAAAACCATGTATTTAAATTCATTATTTACAAAATTGAGAAAACCAATATTAATGAATGGATGGATAGATATCCAAATATCTCAAAGTCGAAGTAATTTCAAAGGCAAATGAAAGGAATAACATTTCATTTCAAAAGTCCCAAAAGAAAAACTGCCATCAGCACTCAGTGATACAAAGTCAGTGTAATTAAAATTACTCTTAAAAGGAAGCAAAATGAGAGCATACAGTAATTAACTACCTCCCTAGCGCATCTCCACAGAATTCCAACTTTTCCTCAGTGGGGGCAGGGGTCCATGTGCTTGTATGTGCGCGTGTGTGTGCGTGTGTGAGAGAGACAGATAGTGTTACTTACCTCTGTGTCTCGAAACCTATCTTCATAATCCAATCTGTCCTTCTCTACAGCTGTCAATTTTAACTTCAAGTTAGAAATCTCAGCCATCAGATCCAACTTCTGAGTTTCTAAGGATGTCCTGCTCAAAAGTTCCTATTAGGATTTAAGAGATACATCCAAAAGTTGTTTTATTATAAACAGTCACGGATGAACTGGTCTCACTTATAATTGCAAAGCATTAAGTATCCAGTATAGGATGCAGTGAGGGATTACCAGTAAATATATACACTTTAGAAAAATTATTTACTTTGGTTGCCAGAACCAAACACGTGTCTGTTCACCGTGGCGGACACATAAACACACATATAAACCATACACATTTTCTGCCTGATGACCACATTGATGATATGTTCGCTACATGCCACGCACTGTTCTGACATACGGTGGGTAGTTCGATCTTCACAACGATCTCATGAGTTAAGAACGTGTATTATTTCTACCCAGTAGGTGATGAGGCTAAGGAACAGAGAGGTTAAGAACATTCTGAATGTCAGACAGCAAAGAAATATCAGAGCAGGAACTCAAACCGAAACAGTTGTGTTCCAGTGTGTAGTCTACCCACCACAACATACAGTGTCTCATGTATGAGCACCCTACATGTGTGTGCTGCACGTTTGTGCATGTATGAGCTATTCTCAACACCAGAGATCACATACACAGTGCTTATCTTTTTTCCTTAGTCAGAAAATATAGGTTCCTGGTTGAGCTGAGGCCATATGAATACAAAAAGAAGATTTAAATAATCTACACTCCATGGGGCCAGCAGGTGGCATGGTAGTTAGTTTTGGGCTCCCACATGGCTAACTGTGGTGGATCAAAGACCTGATCCATCAGGCCACTTGAAAATCATGCTAGCTGTGCATGCTCATGTGTCCCAAAGCCCAGGAGGAGAATGGAGGAGAAGGGATTATGGCATAGCCATTCCCTCTCAGGGGGTGATTTCTCACTTCCCCTCTCAATGTCTCAGTCTCTCTCCAGCAACTGCATGTGGCCTTAGGCATAAACCTTAAAAACAAAAACAAAACAACCCCAAAAAACCACTGCTGCTCTAGATTTGTGTTTAAAATGTGCCAAAAAAGAAAAAGAAAAAGAAAACATTTATGGGACCAGCAGTTAGCGTAATGGCTATGTCGCTGGACTCCCATGTCGTCGACCACAGTTCAAGTCCCGGACCCGGTGGCTTAAACTCACACCGGGCATGTGTGTGTGCATGCCCAAGATCCCAAGAAGAGAATGGAGGAGAAGGGACTGCGGTGTGACCATCCCCCCTGGGGGGTGATTTCTTGTCTTTTATCTCTCTGTCTCTCTCTGTCTGTCTGGCGAGTGCACGCACCCTATAGCAAAAACCTCTCCAAAAAAAAAGAAAAAAAAAATGTGCCAATCAAAGTAAGTCACAAACTTTCCCGCTGCATCAAAGTGAACACAACATTGAAATGCAGTATCTCAGAGCTGAGCAGGAAAATCCATCTCAGTGCTGGCTCCTGTACACACCTGCTGCAGCATTTCCTCGGTGGCGTTCAACTTCTCTCTGTGCTCTTCAAGACAAAATTCCAAATCTCGAATCTTCTCTCCCTGTGCGTCCACTTGGTCTGTTAACACACTGACCTGTAGTGGAAACAAAATGTTACGATGAGTTAGAAAGAATCTTGGTCCCATAGCATACTTTAAATAAAGCAAAACCTGGAAGGATCAGACTATTCATATGAGGGCACTTCAGAAAATCAGTGGAAAGAATGGGTTTAAAGTACAAGTTTATTTTGGTGCAAAAAGAAAAACAAAAAGAAGATTGAACTCCAAGCCTAGGGTTTTTTTTTTTTCCCCCATAAACTTTTTGAACATCCTCTCATATAACTGCAATAAAAATTTGAGAATTACCAAGGGAACAATAGCCCTTCATATTCCTATATCGCTTTTGGATCTGAAGACTCATATTCAATTCTGGAGAAAATTAATGCTGATTGGGGATGCACGTATAATATTTTCTAGGTTAAGAGAATTTCAACCATATGAGAGAAAACATACACAAATTATTCTTCTTTTGGGGGGAGGAGGAGAGAGCACTAGAAGTTAAGAGAAGAGATGAAGCTAACGTTTGAAATAAATAATAAAGGTCTATTCAATCTGATACCTCAAAAAATATGGAAAAAATTCAGGCAATTCAAATTCCATGAGATCTTTCTGACTCACATGGATCACAGACGTGTTCAAATGTGGGTACAGACAGGGCCAGCTTTATGACCCAGTGGCTAAGGGGCACCTGAGCAGTTCGAATCCCAGCCTTGGCGGCCTGTGATCAGGTACATGTGTGAGTGCTCATATGCTCATGATTCCAAGAGGATGGAGACATGGAGGGGAAGGGGTTATGGCTTAACCATGCCCTACTGAGTCCTTTCTCCTTCTCCCTCTGTCTCTCATTGAGTGTACGTGCCCTCTGGCAGTGGGGGGAGGGGAAGGCCAGGCAGACCTCAACACACTCCAAGGTGCACAAGGAGCTGGAAGTCAATCCTTCATCCTCAGTGCTCACTGAAAATCTGAGCTTTTGCTCAATGACCCCAGGCTGGGAAATATACTTCAATTTGTTTAGCTCAAAATACCAAAGTAAAAATATCTGCCGGGCCCAGCAGATGGTGTAAGTTACATTGCTGGACTCCCTCGCAGTCAACTGAGGTTTAAGTCTAGATGCGGTGGCTTAAAGTTCGCACTGGGCACATGTGTGTGCCCGCCCAAAATCCCAAGAGGAGAATAGAAGAGAAAAGATTGCAATGTGACCATCCCCCCAGGGGGTGACTTCTTGCTTTCTTTCTCTCTGTCTCTATTTATCTTTCCAGTGAATGCATGTGCCTTATGGCAAAAACTTCTTTATAAAGAAGCAGGGCTGGCCCCACAGAGCAGTGGTTAAACACAGAGCAGAAGAAGCCAGATCCCACATAGCTGACCACAGCTGAGTCCCACTCCTGGCACCATGAACACATGTCAGCTGGAATCTTGCATGCCCAGGATCTTGACAGTGGTGAACAGGAGGAAGAAGAATTGCGATATGACCAGGCCACATTAGGAGGTAATGAATGAATACTCTCACACACATGTGCTCTCAGGCCCTCTCGTGGATTTTCACACTGTCAGGTGCTCTCACATGCTGTGGCATTTTACACACACACACACACACACACACACATACATATATACACACATATGCATAAACACACATACATACAAAATTCAAATTTAGCCCACAAGCAGGACCTCATTTACTGTTATATTTTGTTTGATCCATGATAACATTTTAAAAAATCAAAAATTAAATATGAACATTCAGATTCAGAAATGTATATATGTTCAGATTTTATACTAGAGATAACCGTACATCTGAATTTCTGGTATATATTAAACTAAACTTTAAAAAATCAGAACAGATAAGATGACGGGTGGGGTCAGAAAATCAGATCTGATGATGCTATGTCTATACTCAGACTAGTTCTTGAAAAGCCAGGGCTGATCAAGGCTGTTCCCTCTAGTCTAGGGTGGAAAGCCTCATTCTCCACAGGCCTCTCCACTCCCTGTTGGGTACAGATGGCCAACCACACTTACTTCTATTAGCAGTCTGATTGCTGCAGGCATCTCAAGTTGCCATCTTAATTTAAAACAGTCTTGAGAAAAGATCAACATTTAAAAATCACTTGCCAAGACCAGCAGATGACGTAATGGCTGTGTCACTGGACTCCTACATAGCTGACTGTGGTTCAAACCCCAGACCTGGTTGCTTAAATTCACGCTAGGCACGTGCGTGCATGCCCAAGATCCCGAGAGGAGAATAAAGGAGAAGGGATTGCAGCATGGCCATCTCCCCTGGGGGGGTGATTTCTCACTTTCTGTCTCTCTGTCTCTCTCTTTCTGGTGAGCGCATGTGTCCTGTAGCAAAAACCTCTCAAAAAAAAAAAAAAATCACTTGCCTGGGGCAGCCCATGGTGCAGTGGTTAGGATGGCTGGATCCTATATGGCCAACTGCACAGTTCGAGTCCTGGACTCAATGGCTTGAGAAACACAATGGGGGCGTGTGTGCACATATGTACCCAAAATCCCAAAAGAAGGGAGAGGTGGAGGAGAAGGGACTGTGGTGTGACTATTCTCCATGGATGGGGGTGCTTTCTCACTGTCCTCCTCTCTCTCTCTGTCAAATGTACGTACCTTCTAGCAGATTTTTTAAAAAATCACTTGCCTGAAGAACAAGGGATTCTTTATCATTTTCTAAACGTGCCAGTCTTTCTTGATACACATCTCCGTTCCCAGGTAGGTGTCCATTTGCCTAAAAAAAGAAACAATATGGGTGAAGCTGGCCCTCTTTAAGACTGATATATTATGGGTATGAAAATTATATTTTTTACAGAGATTTCTGCTATAGGGAGTGTGTACTTGCCCAAGAGACAGAGAGATAGAAAGCAAGAAATGACCCCCCAGGGGGGATGGCCATGCAGCAATCCCTTCTCCTCCATTCTCCTCTCGGGATCTTGGCATGCATGCACACTTGTCTGGTATGAGTTTTAAGCCGTCAGGTCTGGGACTCAAACTGTGGTCAACTATGTGGGAGTCCAGTGCCGTAACCATGATGCCATCTGCTGGTCCTATGCTTTTAATGTAAGGAGTTAAATTAAATTCAGCACAGCTGTCACTACCATTCATGGAAAATACTAGAATTCATTTTTTTCAAAAGAGATAAGGTAGTCAAATTAGGTATTCGGACATTTTTTTTTAATCAAACTGAATGATTTCTTTTATTTTTGAAGAGGTTTTTGTTATACGGTGCGTGCATTCACCAGACAGAGAGAGACAGAGAGACAGAAAGCGAGAAATCACCCCCCAGGGGGGATGGCCACGCCGCAATCCCTTCTCCTCCATTTTCCTCTTGGGATCTTGGGCACGCACACACACACGCCTGGTCTGGGACTCGAATTGTACAGTTGGTCATGTGGGATCCAGCTGCCTCAACCCCCATGGCACCTAGCTGGCCCTGAAGAATATTTCACTGACAGCAGAAGTACACCCTGGGGTGGTCAAAGCTTTGTGACTGTGGTCAGGTGCAACACCCACGTCCCCTGAATGCTCAGTGTCACTCCTTCTGTGTGTGAACAGCAGTTAGGACCTGTGAAGCCCCTCTGTGCTCCCCTCCCAGCCCCACGCCCTCCGAAGTTCTACATCCAGGACAGTAAGTGTCTGCCTTTAAATGGGAGACAGCACACCACAGGCTTCTTCCTGCCCACTCAGACCTCCGAATCAAAGGACGATCTTCTCTGACTCTTTGAAGCCTTGAGCCTTTGAAGTTTTTTTTTTTTTTTTTTTTTTTCCCTCATCTCTTGAGAGCTTAAACGCTCAGTCCACAATAACTCCCCCTGGTAGCCCTGACTAGTATGCCTTGAAGTCACTAACTTCCTGTGAGCTTGCCTGTCCACATCCCTGGAAGAGCCTGTAAACTAGTATCCTCTTGCAGCCTCTTGAAGTCTGTGGCTCAGTGGTCTGCACATACTGGTGCTCCCTCTCTCCCCTTCTCTTTTAAAACCTGATTTGGGTACATTTGTGCAAGATATAAATACCAAGGGAAGAGTAGGTTGAGAAAGGAAATTCAGACTTTCCCCCAGCTGTCCTACAGCAAGTCATTAAAGAGACAGATGAAAAGGCTCAAAGAGAGCGGAAAACAACGTCATTTTGAAAGGCAGTATACGTGCTATGCCTCTCACGATCTCACTGAAATCATTCATAACCACATAACATACAATCCCAGTAGAATTTCCCGATTCCTCATTCAAAATACCACAGAAAAAAAGCCAACTGGAATCCCAAAAAGTTACATGGGGTCATTCAGAGTTCAACAGAAAAAGCAAATAACACCTTCAGATTTAGAGCTACAAAACAACAACAACAACACAACTGTATTCTTACTGCCCAGGGTACATCTGATGAGGCACCTATCATTTTCCTAGAATTAACTGATACTATTGTTCTTCGTTTGCAATTAATGCAGCTCCCCGTTTCGATTCTGGAAATAACAAAAGTCATGCATTGGGAAGGGGGGGGGGCGGGGAGGGAAAACAAGGCCTTAACAACAAAAAAAGCCTTCAAGATGTTTCATCAAAAAACTTAGGCACACTGGATATAGCCCCAAGAGGCCACAAAATCAGAATCTACTTCAGAAAGTATGCAATGCATATGGAGAGTGAGTAAAACTTTAACTATCAGCTGTTTGATCACAGACCTGCACAAATACCACAGCATAATTCTGTTCGTCATTTACTGAATTAAATGACAAGTATTATGAGAGTCTGATGGAGTAACCTAGACCACTTCCTTCCCTAGAGAATATCACAAAAATGAAATTTACATAACTTGTTGAGAACAATTTTTGGGGAAAAGAGCCAGGACATGTAATCCATGTTGTTGATTTAAGAAAGTTCCCAGACAGGCCATACACAGCTTTAAATTCTTCATTTTGATTATGAACATCAAAAGACATCTGTTTTTGGTTCAGCGAGTGGTGTAGTGGTTGTGGCACTGTACTCTCACATGGCTGACTATAGTTTGAGTCCTGGACCCAGCAGCTTAAAAACCATGCCAGGCAGTGGGCATGTGCGCCCAAAATCCCAGGTGGGGAATGGATTGTGACATCCATTGGCCATCCCCCCAGGAGTGACTTCCCACTTTCCCTCTCACTGTGTCTCCTCCCCCACCCCCCCCAGCCAGTACACATACCCTATGGCAAAACCTTAAAAAAGAAAAAAAAAAAAAAAAAGAAAGAAAAAGGCATCTGTTTTTAAAAACTCACACAAGCAGTGTTTTAGAAACGGATAAATGTCATTAGGTAGAAAGAAATGCTTTCTGTTCAGAGTGGACAAGAAGTAAAACCTACCTCTTTTCTGATAAAAAAATCGGAAGAAATTATATCCAAGATGAATAGTATTTCCTCTCAAGCTACTGCATGTGACAGGAAATGAAATGTTCCAAGACCGTTCTCCAAAATTATCCCCAAATAAAGACAAATACTAAAAACAGCCTCAAAATGAGCATACTATGTTTCTCAGTACTTCACTGATATTTACAAACACTCATAATGCTCAAGGATAGTCTCATATATTTCTTTATTAAAAGACACTATGAGGGGACCAGCAGATGGCATAATGGTTCTATCGCTGGACTCCCACGTAGTTAACTGAGGTTCAAGTCCCAGACCCGCTGGCTTAAAACTCACACCAGGCATGAAATGCATATATGCCCAAGATCCTGAGAGGAGACTGGAAGAGAAGGGACTATGGCATGGCCATCCCCTTTGGGGTATGGGGGGGGTGATTTCTCACTTTCTGTCTCTCTGGCAAGCGCACACATGCTATAGCAAACAAATCTCTCTAAAAAATTAATGAAAAGTCCCTATGGGATGATCACAGAGGAACATTTAAGAGCCATCAACAGAACAGATGCACACCTGAGTTAACTTATTCGAGTAGGTAAAGACTGGTCTACCCACACACGTTCATTTGTATTTTTGCCAATTTTATTACACTTGCCTTAAGATTGGTGGAGGTAAATCCATCTGGTAAATACCTTCATTGTCACTAATCTCCCTCCAGTTCCCATGCTCTGCGGACCAGATCACTGAGAACCTCCCCCTTACATAACACGCTCTCTCACACACTGGTGATTTTTATGTGAACCGGTCACTTACTTTTCCTCATAATGTCTTAGTGCAAAACTCTCCTACATTCCTTTAGATTCTTCCATGACACTTACACAATCCTGAGCACGTAATTAAGAATGTATTTTAGTATCAACTCTTGTAGAGTCATTTTGACTTCCAAAGCACTGAGGACTAGACTGTTACTTTATTCAAAATTCTAGAGATTCCTTTAAAATAATCCTTTCTACATTTAAAAAAAGATCTGCTCTGGGGCATGTAAACTCACTGTAAAGACAGAGATAGAGAGAGAGAGAGAGGCGCAAAGTGGGAAATCACACCCTGGGGAGAAGACTGCATTGCAATCCCATCTCCTCCACTCTTCTCTCAAGATTTTGGGTATACACATATGCATGCCCAGCATGTTTTTCAAGCCACCAGGTCCAGGGCTTGAACTGTGCAATTGAGCAAGTGAAATCTAGCCACCTTAACCACCACCGCACTTGGCTGGCCACCTTTCTATATTATCTCATGGTACAATCCCTTATTGACCATTCAATCAAGTTAAATTGGAATCAGCCTGAGGACTTCAGTAGTACAGGATCCAACCAACAGCGTGAGGAAGGTCAGAGTGGGGGAGCAGCTCCCCTATAACACTGGCACTTTGACCATACTAAGAAATTTACAGCATTCCCTAGGTTTTCCTGGCATGATGGAGGGTAAAGTATCTAAAAAGCCTATTCCTCATACAGTCATAAATGCTACAGGTACCCAGGAATCTCACCTGGGAATACAAACACCTGAACTCACATGGCAGGCGCCACACCTGACATTAGAGCACTGTCTACCTTGCCCTTCACCATCGAAGTAAAAGCTCCTCTTTTATATTAACTTTCCTTTACTTGTCAAGTATTACTAACACCCAATCAAGCATAAAGATGGAGTAAATGTTCTTCTCTTGCCTTTGTGCCTCTATTGAAAAGAAAAAAAATGCCAGAGGGTATATGCACTCCCAGAAAAAGAAAGCACCTCCAATGAGGCATGGTCGTGCTGCAATCTGTTCCCTCCACTTCTGTGCCTCCATTAAAAAAAAAAAAATAAATATTTTCTTATAGAAAATCTCAGGTATATGTAAAATTAGAGAGACTAGTGAGTATGATGAAACCCTAGGAAACCATCACTCAATTTCAATAGCTATTAATTCATAGCAGGAGGGAGTCTTTTTTAAAAATAATTATTTTATTTAACTTTATTTATTTACCCATTTATTTTTAAAATTTTACCAGAGAAGGACAGAGCGAGTAAGAGCAAGAGAAAGTGAGAAAGGAAGTCGCCAGGTCCAGGACTTGAACCATGGTCAGCCATGTGGCCAACAGCTCCAGGACTCGAACCACGGTCAGCCATGTGGGAGTCCAGCGTCCTTAACCACCACACCACCTGTTGGCCCTGCAGGAGAAAGTCTTTTGCTTACTATTTTTAAAGTGTCGAGTTACATTTTCCTTTCATGTTTTCTTGGTTTGCATTAGTCCACAGGCATCTTCCCTCTTTTCCCAACCTTCATCTTTGTGTTCTTTCCTGAACTCTATTGTTCTTCTAAATCCCAAACCAACACACACACACACACACACAGTGGTTTACCACAATTTACT